CATATTCAATAAACACCCCTTCTTGGGACTTTGTTCCAAGAGGTTTGTCCCTTACACAATCGTCTGATCCCTTTTTAATTGTTAGCGAGCAAAAACGCGCGAAACACAGGGTTTGAAGCCTATGTACAACCGTTTGTGATAGTTTTGAATCTTAATCCTCAATGCCGTTGTGGGTGTTTGGCAAGAGAGTAATGTTGGGAAGGCACTTGAAGCTTTGAAAGGGTGGGACGGAGACACCTTCTCGTGTCTCCGTGTGAGAGAAGAACGTGTCTCCGTGCGAAGACACGATAAAGTTTTAATGCCCATGTTAAAATAAATTTAGTGCGAGAATAGAATTTGTTTATCACAATGGAGTAACATCCTGTTATATGTTTTTAATGGTGTTAGAGACTATTTTCTGTAGTATGCCTCTGTGGTTGATGTAATACAATAAAAGTACGAAAGTACTCAAATTTTGATAGAGCTGGAAAGATGGTAACGAGATAGGTATAACTTGTGTTGAGAGACGAGAGTTATTAAGCACTGTGGAAATGAGGAAAATAAATTAGTAAAGACATTTTTTCGCTAATTGACTTATGTGTGTACATTCTTAAGAGTGGGAACAGTTAAAATATTCCACTAAAACGCTGTGTTGGGTCTGCTGGAAAGATACTTGAACCCAAATTGGAGGTCCTTATGATACTTTTTGTTAAATAACTCAATAGTCTACATATATAATATCATTTTTTTAATTGGATGAGTTGAAAGGTATGTTCGATGCTGTAATCCACATTTTAAGAGTGCGAACAGTTAAAATAACCTAAATTGGAGGTCCCTATGATTCTTTTTGTTAAATCCCTTTAACAGTCAAAATATGTAACATCATTTTTTATTTGGACGCGCTAAACATGGAAAGGTATGTTGGGTGCTGCAATCCACATTTTTTGACAGCCTTTGGGGTGAGAACATTTTCATCGAATATAATGATTAAGGAACTCCTGGGGGTAAAAGAGATTGGGTTTAGAATCGTGAGAGTATTTAAAGTATGTATCTTATTATGTACTTCAACTGAAATACATATAGGTCAGTCCATTACCATCAATCTATTGCCATTCTTGTATTTTTGGATTTTTAGTTAATTTAATTGGTGATTGTTGAAGTTGAATTTCACCGACATGTTTGACCTTCTATGGATAAGTTTAATAAGTGTAATGGTAAAACAGTGAGTTCTTTTACCTTCACTTCTTGTCGACAATAATCAACTAACATTCAACGCACGTTCTCTTCACTAGTTATACTCTAAAAAGGGCAGGAGAAATAGAGAGAAGATTATATAAACTTTACAATAATAGGCCATAAAAGACGTTAAACCTTAGTTTATCAATTGAGACACTCTTCAAAATCACCTAGAAGGGGTTTCAGATGGCTGACTATTCAATGCAGAACTCGAAGCAATCGAAGGCAAAGCCCCGTTGTCTTGAGAGGCTGATCCACCCCATTTCGTCTCAGCATCTGATGGCTCCATCACATGAACTGCACCATCACTCATGCCGAGGGCAAACTGGTTTGGATCAGATGGATGTGCAGCAATCACCACGGGGAAGGCATTGCCGTTGCTACTGCACGATTACACAAGTCAAATACTCTGAAATCATGATTTGCTAAGCTTAAGAAAGAAATAAAAGGTATTTTTTAAGTAACTTCTTCCAAAAGAATCTACGGCCAAACAAACCAAGGGAACATTTATAATTTCATCAAAATTTTATCAGGAGTTTATCAGAAAAGAGTCTAGCTGGCAACACTAATGGCACATCTAGTAGAGAGGATTGAATAGAACAGGACAGGACAGTATTTATGGGAAAAGCCCGTATTGCAGCCTACATGTAGTTAGTTACCTTACTAGATAACAGGATAACAAATCTAGTATGCAAGGCAGGTAAAATGCATAAACATACATTAGAACAATCCCTGAGAATTTAAGTGTGAATTAAATCCCCCAAATTTGCATACCTAGAAATTGGTGGAGATATGTAAGCAGATGGAGATATTCGACATCGAAGGCTTAAATTATCAGCATTAAAGATCCCAACAGCACCATCACAAAATCCAGTGAAGATGACCAAACCATCACACGAGTATATTGCACTTGAAATAGCAGCAGATAGCAAGTCCCTTGGATGCCACTGCAAATGGATTATTCACTTAAATCAAGAAATAATTTCACTTGCAATGGTGAAAGAATGAAGAAAGATGTGCATTGTTAAGCTTAATGATGTAGATCATTCGTCCCAACTAGGTATCATCCAAAATGATCATCAGAATTGGATATTCTGTAGTTACAATACATAACAGAAAAGAATTCTATTTTCCAGTTTTATTGCTGTAAGCTAAATAGCCTAATCACATACATGGAAATAAAGAGCCACTGAAACTAAACACTAGATAGATTGATGACATACCCTACCTAAGGTTTACGAATTAGCATAAATGGTTTTGACGATAGGCTGGGACATTTTTGTCATATGATATTAGCTTCATCTATCACACAAAGTGATAGGGCTCCGATTTAGATGCTCAAATTTATGCAATACTGATTGCCATTAATGGTTAGTAGAGCCTACAAGTTTCATAGTAAAACGAACACACTCCACATTGTACGTGCCATGCTAATCACACACAGAGACTCAAACAACATGCACACATTTCAGATTTTTTTTGTTTTCCTATGCCAATGCCTCATTTTCTAGAAACCAAAAATAATAATGAAAATAATCAAAGAATATATTTTACACACTTGAGAGACAGTTGATCTAAAAACTTATTTGTAATGACAAACTGAATTGAGGATAAAATTATGAAGTTTTCAGAAGCAAGAAATTCCAATGATTGGATGATAATGTGTGTTCACAGCAAAACAAGAAGAGTGATGAGTTGAGCACTCACCGAACGCAAACATTCAAGTTGAGTATCATAAACTGCAATTTGGCTTTCATGAACAACCAGCAGATGAGATTGATTATTATGGAACTGAACTCTAGTTTCTCCAACCAGAGGAGATTGGAGAGCAGGAGGCGCTTGTATGAACCGTGATTTCTTCTTCTCCCAGCCGTCAATATTCCAGACAAAGAGCTGCAATCGTAATTGGACCAACCATATTAGTGCAAAAATTTCTGCAAGTAGTTACCAAATCAACACCATGCCTTGCGAGAAAACTAGGTAAAAAGGAACACTTATTGTAGATAACCAAACTGGACTTGCCTGAGCATCAGCTCCAGATGATACCAACACGTTCAGACTCTGAGAAAATGCAAGCCCTGATATTCGCTTCTGATGACCCTTGAGCTTGGTTTTAACCTATTGCCCGTCCAAAGACAGACGGGGAAGATATAGTTACGGTAAGATATTAATTGGTCATACATCCCAGGGGACAGAACAACAATACCTCCATCTTCTACAAAAGAGGGCAGTTAAAGATAATAATTACAATGAGAAATACCTTATGTCATCATTAACCTACCTTAAATAGCTTAACTCGAAAAATCAATAATAGATTTTTCCTAAACTAGCTTCAAGAAAAAAAAAGAGATTATACACCCGACTAGACCATTAGAAAAGCTACTATACATGGAAGCAACAACTTCCAAAAAGGAAAATCCAAAAGAAATAAGACGTAAAAAGAGAGATGCAATTCTAATCTGAAATGCAGCCCAGCTTCTAAGCTAAAAATAGACTACAGCAGTGTCTTCAGTTTCTTACATCACAGCAAGAAAGTGTTCTCACAGAATGAAACTTACGTCTTACTGTTCTTTTGGTTAAAGACATATATAGATTGAGTTCAATAGTAAGATGTAACCAATGAAATCATAAGTAAAGTCCCCCTGAGTACGGATTTATATGCAACTAACTCACGTTACAAAATAAGAAAGAGTTCTCTTCGAACACAAGAATCAGATTCCTTTACTGAGAAACCAAATCACAGCAAGATACTGTCAGTTCCAACAAAATCCAGCCTTGAACAAAGACAAGGGATGTTTACCTCATCAACCCTCACGTTGTAGATTTGTATAGTGGAGTCCTCCATTCCAATAGCAATAATATTGTTATCCTGAGGATGGAATGCAAGGTAGGTGGCAGCAGGGGGCGGTGGCATGAAAGTCGTCATGACCTAATCAGAACATATGTATTCCATTTAGTTATCTTAAACAGCATGCACCCACATGTTGCAAAGCCATCAAGGGATCATAGTGAAGAAAATTTTCAACGGTCTCGAGCAAAGATGCTAATAAACCTTAAAGGTCATCATGTTGAACAAGGAGACCTTCCCGCCCGAAGCAGACATGACATAAGAATCATTTTTAGATAAGGCAATACAAGCAACTGAGTCTTCAGCTTGTTTAGCATCAGTCAAGTCATTAGACATGAGACCCCCACTAGTAGGCTGCCACAACTGGGGCACACTGGATGCAGTAGACTGCAAAGTACATATGAAGGAATACAGATTAAAAGAACAGAAGAAATAATGAATTCAAGAAACAATATACAATGTACACGCAAACCCTAACCTTCCCGGATGGATTACGTTCATTACGCTGCCACTTCCAGAGCTTATGAACGGCATTAGAAGCCAGAGCTAGTATAGCTAGTCCAGAATTTGTGTAGATCAACCGTACAACCTGCAATACATTACACATTGTAAGGTCAAAATACGTAATGGCCAATAGGAGGTAAAAGGCAAGAAAAACTCTATGACACAAAGCACTAATGGTCTGGGAGAAAGATGCTAAACGTTAGGAAATTAGACTCAACATCAGTAACCAAGACAAGCAGAGACAGATTAAAAAATAATGCGTTCTATTAAAGTCAAATGCTGTCCCAAGTAGACTAGAAATAATTTTCAGATTCTGGATATAATTACAAAACATACTTTGCTGGCTGTCAGAGGATCAGGCAACTTCAGAGTCTTGAGTTGAGATGAATCAGCTATATCAGGAAACTTCCAGCTTTTGATTTTGTCAATGTTATCAGAAATCCTTGGTTTTACATCAGCAACCCTGCTGCTTTCCATGGTAGCCTATGATTGTCCAGATAAATTAAGCAAAAGAATTGAATAAAATTATGATGGCCGCTTGCCATCTATTTTTCAATTTTGAGGAGGGAGATGACCAATGAAAGAATACCAGATTGCCAAGGGACATTGGTTGTTGAATTCGGTCTGAACGTTCAAGGATTGGAGCAACAGAGGCAGAAGCATTACTGATTGGACCTAATCCACCAGAAATAAAAGGCTGCAGAAAAAGTTGCAAGGAGAAATCAAAACCAAATAAATGTATCGTGGCAAATAAAACGGACTATAAAAGAAATGCGAAAATTACTTTGACATTGACTGATTCTGAAAGACCTCGAACCCCATCAAATGCTCTGCTCTCTAGCATTCTCAGCATGCGCTGCCCATCATTATTTGCTAAGATCTTGATTCCATTGTCGCTAGTTGTAATGGCAAGGAGTGACCCTTCCTTATTAAATCTTAATCTGGGGCTAGCCTGCAATGGAAATATAATTACAGAGCAACTTTAGGAATTCCAAACATTCAAGACAAGTGTATTAAGCAGTAAGGGCCTCATATAGTAGAGATACTAACAGGCAATCCACCATCAGCGTCAGTGGAAGTCAGCATGTTGGTACTGTCCATGTCCCAAAACTTTATCAGAAATTCATCGCCAGCAGCTAAGAAATGGTTTCTTGTTGTGTCGAATTGCACTACACCTAATGAACGTTTCCGAAAACCAGAATATGTCCTCCTGATGGCTCCTTCACTCTCATTCCACTCAACAAGGTGGGAGTCGCCTTCTTTGCTTGTTCCACAGGAGAATAGTCTGAAAAGGAATATGAGATAAAAGAATGACAATTACCTATCTAACCCCCAAGAAAACTGTCTTATCACACAAGTGATACCAGGGCAACAATGTTAACATTATCAGAACTAGAGAATAATGAATTTTCTGGATGAGTTTGCCAGCAAACAAAAAAATATGCAAGTCAACTCCAAGATTCTTTTGGTCACAATATTACACTTTTGTAAGGAAATGTGTATATATCACCTGCAAGGGCCATAAGTCACTAAACCACTAAGCCTGAGCAGCTAAAATCTTAATATAAAAAGAAGAAAAACCGAGTCTTCAGTTAGCAAAACAGTTTCAAGTTACAATAATCAAAAGCCCCATGTCACTAAGGAGCTTTTTTTGCATAAAGAGCTCATTTTTAATGACATAACATTGTTAAAATTGTCTCAGACTGTTTACACAGGAGACTCCCGGTTTTATCATTATTACTTACACCTGGTCAAATTTATGCGTGAAAGTTGTTGCTTCGTCTCTCAATTTCCATCACCATTCGTTTACTTGTACTGGTTCGATTTTGTTACAATTACTCAATTAGAGCATATATCACATGGAGTTGGCCTACAGAAGCAACTCAGTTAATAAACATCACAAATTCACATAAAGAAACAACTAACATCGCTAAATTGTAGCAACTGTTGGCATAAATCCGGCCGCACCCAAATGTCAATTTATGTTTGGTTCAGCACTACCATTGCTTTACTCAGAAAGTCAACTAATCTTTTAGCAGAGTCATCAGTGTTTAGGATTATCAATTTTGAAAATTTTGGTTTTAATGCACCTAACATTTTTTTGGAATTTTAATTACTCTTATAGTTGTACAAAATTGATCCAGAAGGTAGATGAACTAATTCCAGTGATATAGGTCCTCGATTCTTCGTCCGTTGAGCTCATGAATATGAAATATCAACTGAATTCTGATTCAAAGATGTCGTATTTTTACGAGTTTCCACATATAAATAAATTTCTGGGGAGCAAGACACACTATATTCAGTAACTGCAACTTCTATACAAGGGCAGTCAATTCTAAACTGTTAAAACTTTACCTTCCGTGTGACCTCCATCACGAATGCCAGCTACATAAGGTATCATTAATTCTAAACATTTTCCACAGCAAAAAGAAAATGCAATCTAATGCATTGGCCCCATTCTTCCATTATGGTTTCAACAAAGAACATCATCAGAGTACTATAGCTGTCTAGTGGTTCTAGCCCTACCTTTCAACTCCTCATTGTGATGCTACAGAGGAACCTTATCTGACAAAATACCATATTTTGTGTGATGCAACACTTGCTCCCATGAATGAGCTTTTTAATTATGGAAGTAACCTATAACATGAGCAGGCTTTTTCTTAGAAGACCAGCAGTTTCAAAAGCTCTTTTATATAGTCAAAAGTACTGTTCACACACATATTGGCTTTATACATACTAATTTTACATAAATTTCAAGATATTTTATTGCCTGCTAGTATTACCAAAAGACTAAATTTAATGTGTACATCGTCTATTGCAAATAAGTTTGAAGTTGCTCCGGATACCAGTGAGGAAAATCATAAATTTTACCCCACAGGATCAATCGAACAAAATGGAGCTATCTACATCATCACATGAGAGCATCCCAACAAAAGAGATTAACCAGAAATGGATTTTGAACAGACCTGCTTCCATCAGCACTGTATGCCATTGTCGTGCACCAAAGTCCAGGGGCATCATAATCTACTCTTGATCCCAAGGAATCATAAAGCCATGCTTTTATTTTTCCATCAATGGCAGTAGAGAAGATAAACTGCAGATAAAAATAGAACCAGATTGCTATTTCTCATGTCATCAACTTATATAATTTAAGCTAAGCCTAAGAAGTTATGCAGACATCAGTAATAGAAAAGGACACAGAAATTCTACTTGTGAGCACATTTACCTGAATATTCTCTTTATAGTGAGGACAGACAGAATATACAGGAGCTTCATGACCTTCAAATGTATACTGCTTGCGACCAGCAACAGCATCCCACACCTGTAACACAATAATCCACTTAAAAACTAAGAAGTGACATGCTACAAAACTGGATCGAGGTCAAATAAATATACCTTAATTGTCTTGTCGTCACCACATGTAACTATGCATAGCTGCTTATTAGGATGAGCAAAGGCAATATCATTAACACCACCAATATGAGCATCAATCTGCATGGAAAAAGCAATCCACACTTGAAACTACATATGATCGTCGGGGAGAAGAGAGAGGTTAGAGGGTCAGAGAAGAACAATGTAATTCTTACCTCTAAGTGTTGTATTAATTCTCCAGATGGATTGTACGTATATATCTGAACAATGTGCTTCGAAAAAGCAACACCTTCAAAAGCATTGGTATAAAGACCAGTAATAATGCATCAATTGATTGTAATTCAAAGGCTGAAAGACGATTTTCCTTACCAAGTATAGATCCATCAGGACCCCATATGCATCGATTAACAGATATGGTAGCATCTTTAACTAATGTTGTCTGAATGGTAGTCAAGCAAGGATTTACACCACATATTTTAATTAAAAAATAGCAAAGAAGTGAGGAACTTAAAGATTCAAGAAAATACTCACTTGGAATGGCATTGAACAAGTTGATATATCCCAAACCTTGAAGTTTTTCAGTGCTAGCCTATCTCGGGAACCAACTTCCCAAATGCTAATGTCACCAACATTTGTTCCAACTACAAAGTAGATAATTGGCGGTCATGTATCAGAGATGAACAGCATGAATTTCTCCTCTATAAAATTACATGATCTAGATGATTGTCTTGCCCAAAAATACAACTCATCAGAACTTTTGAGCAGTTAAAAATCAGAAGCAAAATGATAAAAATCAATCAAGGATCAACCTAGAAGAACAGTCTGTTGTTGAGGATGGAAGTCCATGCTCATAACATTAGATCCTTGGCTAAGGTTCCGTACAACAGTTTTAGGAAGGTCGTCTGGAGAATAAATATTGGGAGGATGAGATGAACCGGGAAAGGACACCTAGAAAAATATATCACTGTGTGTCAATATGGAGGTGAAGAATTATAAAGAATCAATATTGATAGTCTGGCAATAATTGGAGGAAGAAGCAAGGGAATTGGTTAATCCTCCACACCTCATCTGATTGGCCAGCGCGAATGCGTTTCATTAAATGTTCCGAATCAGCAGTTTGATAATCCATTCCAGGACCACCTGGAGGAGTCCTTGGATGTTTCAGAAATGCAGCTGAGGATTAAAACAGGGCAGAGGTAATATTAGTATTATAAAAAAAAAAAAAAAAACCTCAAGAAAGGCACTAAACTCTTAACAATTGATCCAAGTCAATCTTACAATTAAACAACTGACCAGAACTTGGAGCCTGAACAAGGCCAGGAGGACCTGCAGCAACAGCAACATGAGGAATTGAAGGTGTAGCACTTGACATCCAACCTGCAATGGCACTTGGAGGAGAAACAATTGGCTGGAATGGCTGCAGTCAGAATGTTAGAGCAAGTAAGATGCAAAAAATGAAATCAAAGGTTTGCAGGCAAAAATAAGTGCACAACTTACACCATGAGCCCCAAGAGGAGGAAAAACACCAGGCTTCGGAATGGGTCCAGCAAGAGGGTTATTATTAGGAGTAGGTGCACGAGTGCCATTAGTAGAAGCACAAGTGTGATCCATAAAAAGTGTTTTTATATCTGGGTTTGGACGAGGATTCTTGCAAAGTTGATGCTGCCAGTTTAGACTGCAATGCGAGTAAAAGAAAATTTGACAAAGCTAAACTTAAAGAGAAGAATTACAAGAAGGAGAAACTGAACCATCATGAAGGTTTTAAAACAGCCTAAGCAGTATGTTTTACCAATTGTAAAAGCAATGTCAATAATAACCATATGCAGATATTACAGACACACCATCATGTGGATGCAACACACACAAAGAGAGAGTCGGTCAGCTCATCAAATCAAATTCTATTTATGAATATTAGCTAACCTTTGATTGATCAATGTCCTCAAGCGTGAAGCTTTGAAAGAAGGCAAGGTGAGCTTGTCACGAAATAATGGATTTGCTTCTATGAGCTTTTTTAATTCAACCAGCATAATATTTCGTGCTGACTTTGTGTCCCCGTATTTGGAGAGCTGCTCGTTCTGCCTAGAGACATTTTAAACAAGAATAAAACGAATGAATTACCAATAAGATCAAAAGCTACACTGCCACTAATCATTTAAGTCTTTGATACCTAAAATTGTCAAGAGTTAGAAGCTGGGTGATCTCCTTAAAAAGATCTTCATTGAAAGATGCAAACACCTTCAGATCCTTCACAAGAATCTCAACAGCTTTTGCTCGGTCTTGTCTGAAAAGTATTACACATGGTTAACAATAACAAATATCAATGGCCAGAGATCGACAGGTTACTTGAGACAAAACTTACCTATCAAGAGCTTCAAGATATTTTTGCTTTCTTATTTCAAAGAAAATTTTCATCGAATAGCGGTTATCCTCAACCTTCGTGAATCCACTTAAATAGCGTTCAACTTCGTCCCATTCACCTGCTTGAATTTGGTCCTCAAAGTACTTCATATTGAAGAAGAAACCAGATTCTTGCTCCAACCTATGTACATTTTTAAAATGTATTCCAATATCAATCGAGAACGATACCAACGACTAAATTTACTTGACAAACCAAAAACTAATCATGCAATAGGTGTTTCAAATTTTTCTTGATAATTACTAGGGTTTTATGACCTGGAGAACTGAAAAACAAATAAAGATACCATCTTTTCTTTAATTCTTTTTGCTTTTTTGCCTAGGAGAAAGAAATAGATTAAACAAACGACGTTTATATTTCATGTTAAAACTTATTACCTTCAGCCAAGTCTCGCCAAAGCAAAGCTTATAACTCATGTTTTACTCTTTATGCACTAATTTCATTTCATTAGCAAGTGCATAATTAATTCAGCTTTCGCAAGAAAGTAACAAATAAAGATATGGCATAGACCAACAAAAGGACTTACTTATGTACTGTCTCCTTGAACTTCTCTTCGTCCAAGAACTGCAGGATTAAGAAAACCAGTTCCCGACTCAAGGACGACATAGTGACGCCTCCAGGCACCCCCAACCACTCCAGCTCAAATCTACACAAGTAACCGCAGAAAATTAACAGTTTTGAACCTCTTAAATTCAACCAATCATATACAAAAGCATAAGTCCTTTTGCTCACTATAGTACAAAATATTCTCTAAACCCAGAAACAGCTTTCACAAATCGCTATGTTCAAGTTCCCTAACAACATCAAACATAATACCATAATCGCAGCTATTTCTATAGTCAAAAGGGGCACATAATATGCCTCGAGAATTCCTAGTTAATTCAATTCCAAGACAATACAAAGATTCCTTCTTTTCCAAAATATTCCAGCAAATAATCCTTTCCAAATTTCATTACCCCAAAAAATAATTAAAAATTATTAATTCATTCGTCAAGACACGGCAACAAAAAATATAATTTTCATTTTGACTATCGAACCTTCAAAATTCAAAACTCAAAATACCAGTAAAGTATCCAAAAAAAAAAAAAGCCCACCTCTGCTTTTCTCTTTAAAAAAATATTTCCTTTACTCAAAACCTGCAACACAAGAACAAATGGTATTTTTCCCAGATCTGGGGCACATTTCCTAGTAAATTAGAAGATGGATTCACTCAAACTGATCCAGATTTCAACAATGCACAAAGGGCTAGGGTTTTCCTGGGTCGTAGAAAAAGACCTCCTTTTCTACGCTCTGTACTCTTAAACCACCCTCTCTCTCTCTCTCTCTCTACACGTGTGTGTGTGTATATATATCTATCTATATATCTTAAATTTGTTTCTCTTCCTAGATCTGTGGTGTAACTGCTTGCTTATGTAGTATCAATCAAAGAGTTAAATTTTTAATATTTTTCTTTTTCTACGAAGTATTAAAGCGATTGATAGCGAAGACCCAAAATGAAAAAGGAAATGTATTGATGTGATTAGTCAGCTGTTTGTAGCTTTTTTATTGGTTGGCGAAGTCGAGATAATTGATTATTCGCAATTAAGGACGGCTTTTTTTCCCCATAATTAATCTACAAAAGAAAGTGAAAGTGACTTCAAATTTGAAAATCTTTTTCCTTGATGCAAATAATTATTTATTCACAACACGTTTGACAAAGTTTACAAATTAATAACAAAAAATTATCTTTAGATATGCTATCATTTTCTTGTAACAATAAATTAGGTAACGGTCTGTTTAAAATAAACATTGTAAATAATGATTCAATATCAATAAGTGTTGCGTATATGTGTAAACATACACACTTACATGGTAGTCTTTCGAAAAAGATTAATGTAACACCAATGTTATGCATCACGGTTGGAAAAAACATTAGCTAGCTCCAATAAGGCTACTATCGTCTAATAAAGTTATAATACATCTATTTCATCATGCGTATGGTATTAATATCAGTGTCCATATACTTGTGCTTAGTTAATACTACTAAGTCAAATAGCAATTTTCTGAAAATGGACAAACAATGAACAGATAAAAGTTGAAGGGTCGTGATCAAAACCTTCAACCAAATCAACTGGAAATAAAAATAAATATTTTATTATTATTTATGAACCTAAATTAAATTTAATTAATTTAAAACAAAAAATTATCAATAAATAAACAATAAAATTTCATTAAAGTTAATTCTAATAACAAAATATATTTTATCATTTCACATTGTTATTTTTATATCTAGTCAAAAAAGAAAATAGAATTTTTAATGTGTGAAAAATAAAAATAAAAACTAGGGCTGGACAAAACTCGAATCGAGTGATTTTTTTAAAGTTAAATATCCGAATTGAGAACCGAAAGGTTCAGTTCGATTTTCGATTCTAGATTAAGAATCGAATATCCCTGGATTTTTATCTTAAATAGGCTAAATGATTTTATTTTTTTCTAAATAAATTTGCTAACTAATTAATTTAGCTCAAACTCAAAATATGATTTTTATATTTCTAATTTTCAGTTCAAATCCAATTAATCAAATTGACCTAAATTTTAACCAAATCTCTTATTCTATCGTAGTGCTGCTTCTGTCGTTCTGAAAATTTAAATTGGAAGTCTTTTTTATTATTGTAAGCTCGCTATTTTTCCTTTTAATGTAATTTTAACAGCCAAATTTATGAAAAAATCAACAAAGTGAAACGCGAAATATATCATGAGATTGAACTATATTATTCTTCTTGGTTTGCCAAATATACAATGGAAACATACACACAAGTCAAGATCGAATAAACAATAAAATTTCATTAAAGTTTGATATGAAACATTACTTTCTTACGGTTTCGATCGAAGATAAAGCAAAAAATGTTACAATAGCTATCATGTATCTTGGTGGAAATGCAAAACTATGGTGGCAAACAAAGTATGCTGACATTCAGGCCAACGGAGTCCGAATATTTTTTTGTGGGATCTCCTCAAAGAAGCGATCAAATCTCAGTTTTTCCCAAATAATATGGAATATCAGGCACGACGTGCACTACGAGAACCGAAACATACAAGCTCCATCAGGGAGTATGTGAAAACCTTTTTTCAGGGCATATGCTGAATATTCGAGGCATGTCGAAAAATGATAAGCTATTCAGCTTTATGGAAGGATTGAAACCAAGGACACGCACGGAATTTCAGAGACAGAAAGTTAATGATTTGAGCGTGACCATGGGAGCCGCCGAATGTTTAAGTGACTATCAACCCGAGTTGAGAAAAGATCAACCTTCAGGGGATAATCAGGCTATTGGAGGTGGAAGCAGACCTTATAGACCCATCTCGAATTCAAATGGGGGAGAGCGTTACTCCGATAATAAGGAAGGAGCATATCAAGGCACCCGCCAGAATAACTTTCAAGGGAATTATCAACACAGTCGTCAAGGAAACTATAATGTTAGCATCAATAACAATTGGAACAAAAGAAAAGCAGCGGAGGGCAGATATGATGTTACTCCTAAATTGATGTGTTTTTTATGTGAAGGACCTCATTGAGTGGCAGAATGCCCTCAGAAACGGACGGTGAATGCATATTGTCAACTAGTGGGTGGCGGAATGAGTTCAAAGCAAGATGTCCACAAGCTAGCTGTCACGGTGAGACGGACTCTGAAGAGGATGAGGATGTAGTTGACGCATTCTCACATCGGTGCAATACACTATCGCACCAAGCTACTAAAAATAATGATGTTCCCTCGAAAGAGGTAAAGATAGAAGAATTGAAGGCTCGTATTTGTAGAGCCAAAGGCCTAATAGGCATTGATGTAAAGATCAATGGAAGACCAATCAGGGCTATGGTAGATACGGTACTATCCACAACTATTTCGCACCAGCAAGTACCGAAGTGGAGCGATTCGGACTTGCTCTGGAGAAAGGTAGTGGAAAAGTCAAAGCAATTAACTCCACTGCTCAACTTATAGCTGGAGTAGCGAAATTTGTATTGCTCAAAGCAGGTCCTTTAAAGGGAAGGACAAACTTGTCTGCAGTTCAAATCGATAACTTCAAGCTCATTTTGGGATTGGAGTTTCTTCGGGATACTAAGACAATAGTGCTGCCTTTTTTGATTCATTAATGATGATGGTAGTAAATTGTGCATCATCACGACACAAGTTGGGAAGATGGGTGAGAAGAGTATCTCGACCATGCAATTTGGTAAAGGTTTCAAAAGAAATGAACCCTCATTTTAGTGCACTATTCGATTGAAGGAGATTGAAGAGGCAACTAGTCCTATTCCAAAATAGGTCAGAAGGCTTATTAAGGAATTTGAGGACATCATGCCAGGAGAGTTACCAAAGAAATTGACACCAATGAGGGAAATAGATCATGAGATTGAACTTCTTCCAGGTGCCAAACCCCCTGCCAGGGCACTCTACCGTATGTCTCAGCCGGAGCTTGAAGAGCTTCGGAAACAATTGAGAGAAATGTTAGAAAGTGGGATTATCGTGCCTACAAAATCACCATATGGAGCTCTCATGTTGTTTCTAGAAAAGGCCGATGGTTCTCTCAGAATGTGCTGCGACTATCGAGCCTTGAACAAGATCACTGTAAAGAATAGTTATCCTTCAACCGACTGAGCCGGGCGAGGTACTATACAAAGATTGATCTCACGGTCGAATACTGGCAAGTTCATATCAAAGAGGTAGATGAAGCAAAAACTACGGTGGCAATCAGATATGGAGCCTTTGAATTTAAGGTGATGTATTTTGGCTTAACAAACGCTCCAACAACATTTTGTACGATAATGAATCAGGTACTTCACGGGTTCTTGGATGATTTTATGGTGGTATAGGTGGACGACATAGTCATCTATATCGAGACATTGGAGGAACACGTGCAACATGTTAGAGAGATTTTCAATCGGCTACGAAAGAATAAACTGCATGCCAAACCGTCTAAATGCTCATTGGCTCAGACATCTATCAATTTCTTGGGCCACATCATTGAACAAAGTAAAATACGCTTGGATGCAAAGAAGGTTACAGCCATCAAAGATTGGCAACCACCAAAGAATGTCTACGATGTGCATTCATTTTTTGGGCTATGCAATTACTATCGAAGATTTGTGAAATGGTACTCAAAAATTGCATTGCCACTTACTGAATTGATAGAGAATGATAAAGATTGGGACTGGTCATCCAAATGCCAGAATACGTTCATTGGTCATCCCAATGCCAAAATGCTTTCAAAAAGTTGAAGAAATCTATGCTGACGAATCTGGTGTTAGCCTTGCCGAATATGGCTGAACCATTTGAAGTATATACTGATGCTTTCGACTTTGCACTTAGGGGAGTCCTTACGCAAGAAGAACATCTGGTAGTTTATGAGAGCCGAAAGTTAAATCAAGCAGAACGTCGTTAGTCGGTGCACGAAAATGAGTTGTTGGCAGTAGTCCATTGCCTTAAGGGACATCGTCAGTATTTGCTTAGGTCTCCATTTATTGTGAAGACAGATAAGACTGCGGTTAGTCACTTCATGTCTCAACTGAAACTATCGAGCAAGCAGGCTCGTTGGACTACTGTCTTAAGGGACAATTTTTGCTAGAGTACTATCCTGGATCTAATAATCATGTTGCCGATGCTCTTAGTTGCCACCATTTACTCTATGTCTGCTCTTTCAGGGAGTGCAGTTACCACAAACACAAGGGACCAAATTCAAGTACTTTTGGATAAGGAATTAACTACTCAATATTTGGTCGACCTCATCAAACAGGGCAAAATTCGTCAGTTTTGGCTCGATGGGGCCTACTAAAGGAGACCGCCTTTATGTTCCTAAGGGCGGAGATTTGAGGAAATCATTAATTATGGAATGCCAGACACGATTTGGGCATGGCATCCTGGAGAGGAATGCACTTTTTCACTACTGCAATGTGCATACTACTGGCCTCAAATGCGGGATGACATTGCAAATTATGTGAAAATCTGTCTTATTTGTCAGCAAGATAAGACAGATCATCAGAAAAAGGCAGGCTTGCTTGAGCCTCTTTTCGTCCCAATTAGACCATTCGAAAGTGTATCGATGGATTACATTGTTGGATTGCCAAAAGTTGGAGATTTTTGGCACAATCATCGTCGTGGTAGACAATCTATCAAATTACGCAACTTTCTTCGCAGCGCCTAAGTATGTTTCAGTTGAAGAGACGTGTCAATTCTTCTTCAAATACATTGTCAAATACTGGGGACTGCCTAAGGACATCGTCAGTGATCGGGATCCTCGATTTACTGGCATATTTTGGACCGAGTTATTCAAAATTCTTGGTTCAGCTTTGAGCATGAGTTCTAGTTTTCACCCACAATTTAACGGACAGATGGAGTGCTTCAATTCTATGCTGGAAGAATATCTTCGGTACTTTATCTCTATTTCGCAGAAAAATTGAGTGAAACTTTTGGATGCAACTTATATGTGTTTCAATGCCCAAAAGAGCTCTTCCACCGATAAGAGTCATTTTGAGATTATTACTGGCCAGCAACCGTTACTCCCTCATACTGTGGACATCGATCAAAGTACCAAGTCCCCTCGAGAAAAAAGTTCATCTCAAGAGTGGAAATGAAACATTGAATTTGTTCGGAATTATCTTGAGAAAACTCAGAAACAGTACAAAAAGTTCGCAGACCAAAAGCGTCGTTTCCTTGAATTTAATGTTGGAGATCTGATAATGGGTAAACTCCCTGACATAGACGTTTATAAACCGATAAGAGGGAAAGACTCAATATTGGTGCCAACATATATTGGACTATTATCCATCATGAAGAGGATTGGAAGAGTTGCACTCCCTTCATGGTGCAAAATTCACAAGGTCATTTATGTTGGTGTACTCAAGCCATAATTTGACGACAAGGATGACGCATCCATAAATGA